TCATTCTGGGAATATGCAGGTACCTGTGAATTGATTTTGTAATGAAGACCAGATCCCACAATGTACATTATTGTGTTTCATTTTGTTTTGTTCAGTAGGTGTAAATTAATTTCTAACAAAATATACTTTGAGACTTCTAGTTTCTTTTGAGAGCCTGATGTGTTTTAGCTGACGATTGGAATCTTCTCTCGGTAGTTTCACGACTGGAGGAACGTGAATCAGAAATGAAGAAAGAGTATAATGCTCTACATCAGCGTCACACAGAGGTAGGATGCCATCTCATTATTTGTAAATAAATGAACTCTTAGCCTATATGTAAAGTCACGTGAAAGAATTCAGCTTTCCAATACTAGTGATGACTAGAGCTTCAGAACTTTGGAAACATCGGAAGCATCTGAATGGAGGGTGTAAAGAGGATGGAGCCAGGATCTCTTCAGCAGTGCCAAGTGGCAAGACTGGAGGCAACTGGCACAAACTGGAACACGGCTCCCTCTGAAGATGAGTAAAAACTGTGAGGATGATGAGCACTGGCACAGGTTGCCCAGAGATGTGGTGGAGTCTCCATCCTTGGAGATATTAAAAAACCACCTGGACATGGTCCTGGGCAGCCTACTCTAGATTGCCCTGTTTGAGCAGGGACGTTGGAATCAGTGGACCCCAGGAGATTCCTTCCAACCTCAACTGTTCTGTGACTCTGTGAACAGTGCCCCACTACCTCATCTCCCACTGCTAACCAGCTTCCAGGAGACCTTTTATATTATTTTTGGATATGCTGTTTCCTGACTCTTCTGTTATGAGATTAAGCTTAAGTAATTTCTGACATGATTTGCTGTCCAATTTTCTGTCGGATTAGTTCATTCACTTACATCGTCACCTTGACATGATGATGCAAGAGCATCGTGACATGATGAGCAAAGACAAGGAGATGCACAAAAAAAGAAAGGGAGTTGGAAATGAATCCTGGAGAACATCAAACCAAAGCAGGAATAGAGTCTTTTCTTCTCCTCTGTTTGGCTCATGGATTTTTCTCTCCTCACAGATGATCCAGACCTACGTGGAGCACATTGAACGATCCAAGATGCAGCAGGTTGGGGGAAATAATCAAACTGAGGGGAGTGTACCTGGGAGAAGGTAGGGCCATAACCTCTCCATGTAATGTATGCCGTCAGGGAACTTACAAACTGAGTGCATGTATTTGAGAGAGAAAAATCAGAAGCAGGATCCCTGTGGCGTGGAAGCTTTTTTGTAATGGGTTGTGGGTGAGTTGTGGGTATGTTTTCTAAGGCTTGACGATGAGGAGCTTTATGTGTTCTGTTACAAAGCTTGGGCTTTGTCACGCAGCTATTGATAGGGGCCCTCTGGAAAAATGTGTTTATATTCTCAGGTAGCATGTAAAAGGTTTCTCTATAAAATGGATGGAGGTGTCAAAGTATTTGTGTGTGTGTCTTTATATGTGTGATAGCCAGCAAAATTGTAGCAATTAAATACATTAGCTGTTACAGGATTCCCCCCCCCCCCCCCGTTCCTTCAAGGAAAGTTTTCTGTCAGTCAGTCACCCAAAAGACCTATTTATGCCCAAGAAATTGGTTTTCCTCTCTCCCCGCCCCCACCCCGTTTTCAGAGCACCAAACCAGTAAGAACCAGCCTTTGCTTAAAGAAGGCAATGGTAGGAAAGAAGTTCATTATATGGAAGAACTAGTCTTTTGTAGTCTTAGAAAAAATTTAAAGCACAGAAGTTACAGTTACATTGATTTCAGTACAGATCCATCTGATTTTAACTGGTATGTGAAGGAACCAAATGCTTTCTGTCTGATGACACCGGGAACATTGCCCACAGGGTGAGATGTAGAAGTGATATTCCATAGATACAGTTCAGAGATGTAATAGATTGCGTAGCACATAATCTACTCAGATTAAACATAATCTATTAAGTCAGTCAGACATAAAAAAGATGTTTTCTGTGGCAATTTTTATGCATGGCATAGTAATCTATTTTTGTTGATCATCACATGCTGATGAGATGATTAACACTATAGTGACACTATCTTGCCCAGGAAGTTTTAAACTAAAACAATATTGACCAAGTAATATGCTGCAGGAGATTAACTCTTATTGTTGTCCTTGCCTGTCTTTTTTTTAAACTTTTTAACTTCTTCTGGCTTTGAGGAATGTTAAAAGGTTTTGCACACGTGCTGACCACAAGCCGTGGGAGCTGTTGGTCTGAAAAATATGTAGATAAAGTACCAGCTGCACAGGAATACTCAGAAAAGAGCACCTGCTAGGTGCGTCCTCCCATGTCTGTTAGAAAATACGTCTGATTGATCTTGGTTAATATTTGTGAACTTCAGCTGGTTAATATCACTGAACTTCACTCAAAAATCAAATCTTCGGGAAGCATTAGGCTTAGAAAAGGAGCGGGGGTGGCATGTCAGGCTGTACACAAAGGGCAGCATGGGCAAAGACATGGAGGTGAAAATACTGGGAAAACAGATAAACAGAAAGCCATGAAGGTTTTTGAAGTATCATCTGGTAGGAATGATGAAATGCAGAAGAAGAGCACTGAGCAAAATTTGGAGATGAAGAAAGAGGAAAATTATTTTAAATTAAGAATAAAGAAATATATTAAGAATAAAGGAAGAATAAGTGAGGATATTTTAGTAATTTGTATTTAGGTCTGTAATGCTTAAATACCAGAATGTCAGTTGATTTTGGGGTAATGTAATAGAAAGGAAATTTCAGGTCTTGGCATGGGACGTGTAAATACCCTCTGTCTGGTATGGCTCCCTGTTGCTGTACAGAACTGCTCTGGAAGAGTCTGGATTCAAGTTGCCAGAGTTTGACTGTGTATTGTAAAAAAGAGGAAGGAAGAGTAAAAGAGACCCAACCTCACCTTGTAAATGGCTTGAGGGATGGAAGGGGAGTAGTAAAAGACATGAATCTTCAGAAACTTTGGTAACTGGCCTGGATCTCCTGCCTGATGACCTGTAGCCTTACAGTCGTGCAATGTCCTGATCTGGAAGGGGACCCATGAGGATCATCGAGTCTAACTCCTGACCCCACACAGGGCAACCTAAAGGTTAAATCACATCTCTGAGAGCAATTGTAATTGCAAACAACTCTTCAACACTGACAGGCTTGGAGGCGCGACTGCTTCCCTGGGGAGCTTGGTCCAGAGCTTCACCACCCTCTCGGTGAAGAATTTTTTTGAATACTGTCTATTTGCTATTTCATTACCTCCCATAATAATTAAAGATAATTCTGTAGCCTTGGCTACAAGAATAACTTGCAGCTGGAAGATACTGATATCTCAAAGAAAGATCCTGTATTTATTCTGAATCAGTTGATGAGATTTTTATACTCTCATTTATAAGGCTACCAATGCCTTACATAAAGGAAGGAAAGACACAGTTATATGTGAATGAAGGGGCGCTATTTACCCTTCCTCTTCTGATAGTCAAATAGTCCTTTCAGAAAAGAATATCTTGCAGTATTTCTTCTAGAGAGGTATAACTAAAGGCTGTTGTAGTCGTTCAGTGGGCTGTATAGTGAGTTATCTCTAGGCTCTTTTTTTTGCAAAAAGTAAATCAGTCTGACAACAGCGAGTGGTTTAGGACAATAAAATTAATTACAGAATGTGGTGTTTGGGGTCTGGCTAAAATTGGATTGTCTAAAATACAAAACTCTATTGGGGAAAAGAAGTCAAAAGATAGATGGCAGCCTTCCTAGGTGAAAGAGACAGGCATGAGGGGTGTAGAAAGCAAGAGGAGGTATGGTGTAAAAATAACCAGTAGTTTGTAGTTGTTCTTCTGTTCATAAAATCTCCCTTACCAGACTATTTTTCTTCCTTCTCCTCTCCCCCTCGCAGTCTGGAAGTCCACAGTGAGTTCCCAGAACATGGTCTGGTCCTAGTGCTACAGCTGAAATGGGATAAGTGTGTTAGGCTCGTTTCCCTTCCCACTTACCCTTCTGTAAATTAGAATATATCTGTGGAAGTACTTACACAGTAAAATACAAAAGTACCATAGACAAAAGTGTGCTTAGGGCCTCCTTATTTTAAAGGCTGGTTCATATATGCACCTGCCAAATTTGGGATGGACTGCACGATAGAAATTGATTTTAATGAGATTTTCCTTCCTTAACTTTCAAATAAGTTAATATTAATTGTACCTTTATGTGTCGTTCCGTGAAGGAGATGCATGGTGAAGAGCGTTACTGTTTTTATCTGCAAGATTGCCATTCTCTGGGATGAAGGGCAAAATTTTCATCAAGAATTGCCTATTCGTATTAGAGAAATTAGTCTTTGACCCTTTTAAGTGTGGCATATTGCTGGTCTCCTTGGAGAGAGAAAAAAAAAGCAGCGCTGTATGTCTGTGAAAGCCCCCGATGGGGCTGTGACCTGAGCTTGTAGGAACCACTAGTGGGAAATGGGACTTTTTCCTTCATTTCAAGCTTTCCGCTGTTGGCGTGTGTGCGTGCGTGTGTAGCTCTGTGTTTTAATATGCTCGTGCACAAGAACTTGGGACAGATGTGTGGGTTTGTGTCACTGCACACCTGGGTGGGGGTGACCAGCAGTGTTTTTGTATCTTTGTGCACTGGAGGGGGGACACGGGCATAATTTCTCCTGGCCTGTCACACAAATTTGAGTGCATTTATTTATTCTCATCTGTGGATGTGCTTGGGTATGTTAGACTGCATAGGGGTGCATATTTGCATCGGACCTTAAGTACTCAGAGTATGTTTGCCTGTCACCCAGGAGAAGTTTGTGCGAGAACTGTTTGGGGGGGTGTGTGTCTCGACTGCCATCCAAGAGGGGTAACGGGTACGGTGCACACTTCCACGTGGTGTGGATTACAGTTCACGCGTACCCCATATCTGTTGTAAGGCTGCATGTTTGCATGACTTTGCTCTCTAATGGTTGTTTTTTTGTCTCGCTTTTTGTGTGATTGCTGCTCTGTTTTGGCTGTTATGTTTGTCACTGCAGTCATCGCCAGTCATGGAGGAAAAGGTAAATCCTATTGCTGCATCTTAACTTTGTTAATCCTAATTTTGGAGGTTGCTGTTGAGTGTGATGCTGGGAATGTACTGTACTGGCATGTTTGCCCTCTTTGTCTCTTGGCATCTGTGTTAGACTTGCTCGTTCAGGTGAGACAGAGGGAGCCACCAAGCTGCTGGGATAACACATCAAGAAGCAGCTTGCGTTCTCAAACGCAGAAGACACAGAAGTTCGGTCCCAAAACAGGATCAGTCCTCTGTGATTGGACGTTTACACTTCACGTCCCAGAATGTTTTAAAAAGTCATCTTTTCTCCCTTATTTTTCTATAAAGTACAAGACATATTTTCTGAGCAGGGCAGAAAAGGTGTGTCACTGGTAGTAGCTCTCTGAAGGCATTTCTGACTTTGGGGTGGGCAGTGGGTTCTACACCAGGAGCCTGCAAAGAGAGCAGTTCTCATCTTCAAATGCTGGCAAACAAATAATTCTTTAGTTATGTTTTATAGGATGTAGAGCATCCTGATTTCAGGTTTTAGCTACTGGAAACTTTTAGTGAGGAGTTTGCTGTTTACCTTGTAACACAAGGTCGAACTAACCAAGTGTTGTCACCCTGTACTGGAAAGAATTGGGTCTATGAAGATTGCTCCAGCACTCACAATGGAAACGGGTCCTGAGGATACTGTAAAGTCCTTTGAAGACTCAGCCCAGGACTGCAAAGCTGAAGTTAGCTCTTGCAGTTTGCTCTTTCCCCTTCCCTGGGAAGTTCAGAAGAGGCTGGAAGGTGTTTCCAAAGAAACTCAGCAAGGAAATTTCCTAACATTCTACATTAAAATCCTTTCCTGAAGATCCTGCAGCTTTGTACCCCTGTTCTCTGTTTAGCAGGGACTGTGAAGTTCATATATTCCCTGTACATTCAATGGGCTGCTGTATCTCCATGCATGTTAAATGTGCATATGTTTGTATATGAACATAGAAATAAGCTATGGGTTCCCAAAAGAAATCTGATAGAGATTACCTAAAGAGGAACTGTAATTTAATGTCTCTCTCAGCATGTTTGGTATGGCTCATACTGCTTAGTGCCACCAGTGAGTTACCTCAGGCCATCCCAGCATAGTCACAAAAGCGTTTATATTATAGCATGCTGTTAGATATTCTGACTGCACCGCTTGTTTTGCAAGGAATGTTTTCCAGTTACAGGAAATTTTCTCCGGCTACGGACACCTGTGAAGCATGACTCCCTTAAGACCATCATTCTAACCTGAAGAAGAGGAAAGATTTGAAACTAATGGTTAAAGCAGCTCAAAAAATGGCCTAATTTTTTTCTTCTCCTCCCTGAAAAGAATGAATCTTTTGAAGTAGACTCTTTGGAACCCTTGAGTTATTTCTTTAACTGTAAAATTCGGAATTTTCTGTCTTTGTGGCATAAAGTTCTAATTTCTAGTTTTGAATCTCTTCATAATCTCATATACATAACCAACTATACTTTTTGTGGCTTTTAGATCAGTACAGTGCTGGGGTGAAGATTTCATATTAGGGAAAAAAAATCCCTAGTGTGTTATTTAGAAACTTAAACCACAGCTGTTAGAAACTTTCAGGGTCTTGGAATGATAGCAGTAGGATAAAGAGAAGGAAATGCAGTAAGACAGACAGAGATAAATGTACTTTGGCATCATGACCTATTAGAAGCAGGTGTAAATGGCAGGATAGAGGTCAAAAATCGGTATTTAGGTAAATAGGTATTTAGCAGTAGAATGGTTTCTATAAACCTTCAGTAATTGTTAATATTTAAAAGTAACAAGCACCAAGAAACCTTTTGAGAGGAAAGGCTACAAGGAAACTGATAATCCCTAGCATATACAAATCTGGTTTTGAATCTGTGGAAAAATGGTTGCATCTTCTCTAGAAAAGAAAGTAAGGTTAATCAGGTTGTGTCAATGATCTGTTTTCCTCCAAAATCCAGTTACGTGCTGCCTTTGTAAGAGGGTTTGTCTATGAAACTTACATGTATGAGTCTTGAGGAGCTTCAGGAAAGAATTTGAATGTAGATTCTTAGGAAAAGTCCATCCCAAATCTTCTTGCTGGACCACACTAGAAACACCTTTCTGCCCCTTCTGCATATCCAAGATAGTCCATGGCAAGCGATTATTGCTCTGCACAAGCCACACTGACACAGCGTGCAGCACACTGTGTTGGCTGCGCAGTGCTGAGGACAGGAAGGTTGGTCATTTTGGTTTTCTCCACAAACGTTGTCTCCACTGCTAGGCACTCCACCTCCTTCCTTCATAAATGAGCTGGTTTGTGTACCATCTCCTGGGTCAGTGTGTTTGCATACGTCCAGGGGTGCCTTAGGTCCTGCTGCAGTCGTTTCACCCATGGTCACGGGTGAGGTGGTTGTGACGGTTGCCTAGCCTGGTCATCAGACCACTGCTGATGATCATTAAAGAAAGGCACTTGAAGGTCTACTGTTACTAATACTGGTGTACAGAAGGGCAGGTCTCATCACTGCCTGCACGGATAAGCAGAAGCCCCATACAGGAGGAGGTGAAGTACCATTATTGAAGCCCTTTGTGTGTGCATGTCACACACAGTATCAGCTTAGTTCATCTCTGCAGGGCCATGGGAGTCCAGCTAGTGGAGGCTGCTGGTGTTATCCCCCGAATGGATGTGTGCTCTCTCCCTGCAGGCCTACTTGTTTGGCACAAAACCAGTTGCCGATTCCGGCATGCTGCTGCAGCCTTTTCCACCTCTGCTACTTGCTCTAGATTTTTTCCCACTGGAACTTGGTCTCAAAACCTGTGCCAGCTTTTATATTCAGAATCAAACCCGCAGCTAGCTAGTCACCTGCAATTGCCACGAAGAAGACGATGAAGAAAATGTAATTACGGGCATCTGGCAGTATGAATGATGCATTCATTTATACCTTGGTTTAATTTCTGAATTTTGAGTGCATTGTAATACAGATATGGAGAGGGGATCAGAAAGTACAAGTATTCTTTTTCTTGTTTAATATTGGAAGTGATGCAAACCCCTCTGATTTCTGCTGTTGGAGCTAACCGGATTTGGGGTGGAATGCACAGAAGTGCCATGTAGGTGACTCTTACTTAAAAGCCTCTTTCCTGACCCATTGATGACATCTCTAGGATCTATGGGAGCTTTTTTTTTTTTCTACGAGAGTTATTTGCTGTGGCTTGTTTTCTCACAGTACCTCTGTTTCTCAGAGGATACACTGACTTGAATTGGCTGATGATTCCCTGCAGTTTTGCATTCCCCCAAAATATTTTGTACTGATGAAAAAGTCAGTTGTGCCTGTTGTGGTCACTTGACCCCATCGTCCGTCTTAGAGTGTCCCCGGGAAGAGGTATGACACTAGCAGTAGACACCATAGGTCTGAGTAGACACCATAGGTCTGAGTAGACACCACCATGGAAGTGTGGGAGTTGGGAGCTCATACAGCTGCTACGTGAGGGGAAGGAGTGCAATTCAATTTCTAGTGACTAATGTTTCCCATAATCTAGTGTGCTGTATCTTTTCTTTAAGAACCTTGTAAATGGCTAACAGACTGGTTTCCCCTCTCTCTCTGTTTCTCTGTTTAGCAGGAAGGAACGTCCTAACTCTCTGAATGTCTTCCCCCTCGCGGATGGCATGGTACGTGGGCAGATAGGGGCCAAGATCGTCCCAACACTGGACCACTGGCACCTGAGTGACCTCGGCCAGCTGCAGTCCAACTCCAGCTACAAGGTTTTATAGACCATCACGGAGCAAGGGTTTCCCACTCTCCTACTGTCAATAACATCCCACATTTTCATTCAGATGGAGACCGATCTGTGTCCATAACCCTTTGCAGCCTTTCCCTGCTGTGCGTCTGCTCCCTTGGTAGCTGTGCTGTAGGTGGGAGGAAATTCTTTTGTGGATCTGGCATATGGTGCAGGAGGGATTCGACACAGCTCCTCACGCTTCTTGTCTCAGTGATAATCTCCTTTACTTGGCTGGCCCCAAGTTGAGAGGAGTGTGTGGGGAGGCCATTAGGGATTTAGGGGAGATAAATCCTTCACTTTTTTATAGCTTATTTGGGAGAGGAAATGGTGGAACTTGTGCCCTCTCTCCCCCTCAATAAGAGCAGTGGTTTTGCACCTCTGCTGTGACCATGCATTGGATGGCGCTTGCTCTCCAGTGTTTGTCCTCTTTGACTGATTGCTGCTCTGGCCTTCCTCTCTTTAGTAAAAAGGGCTCCTGATCCTCTCTGGATGCCCGAGTCTTGCACTGTGCTTAAAGGTCTTCAGTTCCTGTCATATCTGGTCATTGCTGTAGACTTGCATTGTCACCTTCAATGCGCTGCCTTCTGCACTGGGGCTTGTGGAAAACCTCACGGCATTGCAACTGCACTGAAGCAGCCACGTGGTTCTGCCTGTTGCTTGTGGTGCTCTGCTCTGCCTTGCAAAGCCGAAAGACCCAGATGTGCTCTTAGCTGACAGCTCATTGCAATTATATACAGTTTAGACTACACATGGTGACCCACATTTCCCGTGAGCTGTACCTGTAGACTTCCCAAAGTCTTTCTGCTCAGGATCCCATCAAATTCCTCTCTTTGAATGATGTTCCACAAATGCCTGGGGACAGGCCTGACAGCCAGTGGTTTATCTACCCAGCACGGCTTAAAGTATGTCCACCAGTATGTCACAGAACTTCTGGTCTGCTTTAAAAGCGGCTGATAAAATTTACTTTCTCTCTGCCTGGAATTTGTAGAACATCAGGTGTTTTATATGTCACATCTAAGGACTGGTCTCCTTTTGAGAAGTTGTAGATCACTAATCCTGTAAAATACATTGAGGCAGTAAAGGCAAAGAGAAGGAAACGAAACAAAGAAAGAAAAAACCTGGCTTGTTACACCCATTCTGCATGTTTCCAGATTACATTAATGGTACTTTGGCATGAGGGACTCTGCAGGAGTGGCCTCCTTGATGCATAGCACAAGAAATTTACAGAAATTCAAAATTTATGCAGAAAACAAAGCAGCAACTTCCCTTTTTTAACACTACCTTTGTAAAGTAGCCAGGCCTGGCACAGCACAGACCTTAGCACTTCATCAACCCTCTGCCATCAGGGAAGTTGGAAATCCAAAAGCGAGATCTTTGGATAGCATGGAAACTGTTCTTGGAACTCAACCCTTGCTGTAGTGTTAGAAGCGCAGAAGTTTGGGAAACAGCAACTTGTAGAATGCCAATTGGGTCCTACAGTCATTTCTGGAGAGCTTTGCCTGGAGTTAGGGAATAGCAATGCCACAGTGCAATAATGTAATTAAGGATGGTGGAAATGAAGATCAAGCATGAATGTGTTTTTCAGACTAGCGCTGTGCCGACACAACAATGCTGCAGGGACACAGACCACAACCAAAATGCACAGAGACCAACCTGCTCCTGGTTCTGGAACCATTTTATTCCTTGGGATCTCCAGGCAGTGCTGCACACTATGGTGTGAACATGCCCTCGAGCTATCCAGCATGTGTGGCAGGGTTTAGTTTTTAGAGAAGAGCTGGGAGGACATTGGGGTTAGATCCATCTTCCACAGACTTGCTAAGGCTTAATTCTTTAAGCAGTACCATTGCAGAACTTCTGAAAGAAGTTGAGTGGATCTCACTGATAACCCAACGTCTGCATTGCAGGAGAATGCGAGACGAACCCAGATAAATTGGAAGCTTTATGTCCAAGTTTGGGTGATGGAGGGTTATGGACTGGATCTCTTAGTGATTTGATGGTGGTGGTGTGAGGCAAAAAAATCCATTTCTGGTTACAAGAAAGCTTTGTGCAGAAGTAGCAGTGTGCTACTCCAAATGTGTCTGGCAGGTAGTGCTGGGATTTGCGTTGGCGCTCGTTAGGGAAACTCAGAAGTGGGATGCTGGGTTAAGGAGGCTAGCCAGTAGGGCGGAGTCAAAGAGCTTGGGCTGTGGAAGACTTGGATGGGCTAGCGTGTTACAGAGGGTTTCCAAAGAATAAGGAGCAGACCTATGAATAATTAAAGGATGTGATTGACTGACTGACTAGATTTGCAAGTTGGAATGGAAATTTTCCTCCTGCAAGCTTCTTGCACACTCTCGGACTGAAATGCTATTTCTTAAATATTTTGCATGACTGAAATCTCAGCAGTACTGCTCATGCACTCCTTGCCTCTTTAGCAGCTCTGGTATTTCGCTGACATCAGCTGCACACAGACAACTCACCTTCCCAGTATGTATATCCTGGCTCTTCTGACTCTCCCGGCTCTATCCCATGTTCCTTCTTCATGGGGCCATACTATAGTTACGTTTAAAGTGTCCCTGTATACTTATTATTACTGTTTTCTGGTTTAGTTGCTGTCATTGTATTATTTTGTTTTTACATTCAGTTGTACATTTATTTTATATAATGTTTGGGAGATGAAAGTCCTTAACATTTTCGTTTTTATGTACTATGCTTTCAGTGTTATAACCATACAATTGTGGCTTCTCATGGTGACATATGACTGCTATGAATGTTGGGCCTTTGCAATGCATTTTGGAGGTCACTACTACACATTTGGTGTTTAGGAGGTTGACAGGTATGGCTGTAGGTAAGTGATGGTTGTGGAGAGTATTCTTTGGGTGAGCTATGGGTTATGGAGAATGCCTCGTGCACTATAGAGGAGAGCCGTACACTTAGCGGAATACTTAGCGTTAATGAAGCACTCAGGACAATAGAAGGAAGATAACAGCAAAGATTAATAGAGCTTCTGGACTGTGAAGAGGAGCGCCTTAGTAGTATTTATGTTTGGGAGGAATTTCTCCAATGCAGGCTGGTAGGTTGATAAAGTATGTTTTCTAGGTAAATATAAAACTCAGATGTATAACCAAAGAGTAAGTGAAAGACCGGAGTAAGTACTCACTGGTATGTTCTGAGTGAGGGGCAGGTTATGTCAATAAACAAGAAGTTACAGGGTATCTCTGATACAAATATCACTGTATGGACCTGATGATACAGGGTTTCTGAATGACATCTACTTCCTAAGAACAAGAAATGACATGTGGACCCACCTTGGTGTCTCTTTTACAGTGCGAAGATACTCATGGACTTCGGTTATGCTTACAGACTTACAGTGGGTACAAGAATGTCTCTGATTCCTTTCATCCAATGAAAGCTTTTTTTGGGGAGAGAGGTTTTATGGTTGCACTTTACACTTGATACTTTTTGTCCCTTTGTACATTAACAAGCGCAGCAGGCAAACTGCAGTTGAAGGCTTACTGGATCATATTTGTTCTCAAAAACCTGGTTTGATTTTTTTTGTTACGTATTAGGAAAGTAGCTCCTGAAGCAGGA